TAGCAGTAAATGGCAAGGGAGGAGAGATTGCCTGTCTTTCTTTCATGGACATACTTTGTATTGGCAGTGCAATTCCTTGCAATAGATTGTTGTTGTTGTTAATAGCCATTGAGTCGTAAACAACTCATAGCGACCCTCTGAACCAAAGACATGAACACTTGTATGACTTTTATCATTTTTCTAAGTTACTAGAGTTTCTGGAAGCAAACTATTTCAGAAATGGATGCCATTCCTGCTCTCACGCCCTTTTTAATCTGGGAGCTCCACCATTAGGGTTACTAAATTTGTTTTTATTTTCTTTTTGATGTTCTTTATAGTTTAAAGTTTTACCCCTGGTTCCTTAAATTAGTTTTTGTGTATGGTGTGAGGTGTCCATCTTATTTCTATTTTCTGCAAGTAGATACTCAGTCTTGCTAGCACCATTTGTCAAAAAGTTGTCTTTTCCTCATTTAAGGGATTCCATATTCTTGTTTAAAATTACTTGTCCATATGTGGGTGGATTTCTCTTTTGGGTTCTCAATTCTAAAATAGAATTTGAATAGAGTTGATCTTGAGATGAGGTCTTTGAAAACACAAAAATCCCAGTTTTTTCTTGTGTTTGACAGTAGTGGATATTTTTCAGAGCCATCAGAGGCCTGTCTATTGAAAAATGTCTCTTTAGTCACAGGCTTTCTTTGGGATCCGCTTAGTTTCCCTTAGAATATTTCTTAAAGGATAATTAGAAGTTGTTTGCATTACAATAATAAGACCAGAAAAACACAGGAAGAGAAAGAGATATGCATATAGTATATATGAAAGGATTCATACTAAGAGTATATAGTCACAAAAGTCAGAAATAAGAAAACAAACAACACATTAAAAAAAGCACAAACCTCCAAATGTAAATTATTAGCAATTCACCAAATAAAATATAATAAAGTCAAACAAAACACATGCAGATATGTTCTGCATCAGTAGACTTTAGAAAAATACAAACTTAACATGATGAAATATTACTACTAGCTTTTATAATGTGTAAAAAAGTCAATCCTTCTAACTAACAAGGATATGAAACAACTAGATATATTTTATACATCAATAGTAAAATAGAAATATGATACAACCAGTTGGGAAAATTGTGTATTGACTGTTTTTTTTTAATAAATATAAGAATGCACACCTTAAATATTATCCATTGTCTTGCAATTGGACATTTAGCCTAGATAAATAAAAATTGAACACAAACAATATAAACTATCTTAATTCATATTTTGCTCAAAATGACAACCCAAAGCATCCTTCAAACTAGCAACACAATACAGTACTACCTAGTAAAAAAAAAAAATTAACCAATCTTCTTCCTATTATAAAACCACATTCTTATTTACGGAGTCCAGCTTCTCAAATTATTTGTTCAGCATTCCAATTGAAACCTTGGCACACACGTTTCTTGATTTTAAACCAGGAACACTATGAACCTGGAGAAAGGATGAAAGTCACACAAGTGTTGAGGACTTTTATTCATAGGGTTGCTAAGACTCACCTGCAACTCAACGGCACGTAACAAGAACATCAACATAGAGAGTTATCAGTTGGCCTGTTGTTGTTGTTGTTATGTGCCGTCGAGTCGTTTCCGACTCATAGCGACCCTATGCACAACAGCCCTAAACCCTGCTCTATCCTGCGCCAACCGCACCGCCTCTGACACACCCACCCCGATTACCCCAGTCACCGAATCAATCCATCTCATAGAGGGTCTTCCCCTCCTGCGCTGTCCCTCCACCCTCCCAAGCATGATGTCCCTCTCCAAGGACCCGTCCCTCCTGGCAACATGTCCAAAGTATGTCAGACGAAGCCCCAGAATCCTTGCCTCCAAGGAGTAGCTTGGTTTAATCCTCTCCAAGATGAATCTGTTTGTTTTCCTGGCAGTCCATGGTACATTCAGTACCCTTCTCCAGCACCACAGCTCAAAAGCATCCACTCTCCTTCTGTCCTCCCTAGTCATTGTCCAACTCTCTGATGCATAACAAGCGATTGCAAATACCATGGCCTGTATCAGGTGCACCTTAGTCTCCAGAGAGACACTGTTACTCCTGAATACCTTTGAGAGGTCCCTAACAGCAGACTTTCCCATTGCGATACGCTTTTTGATTTCCTGACTGCTGGTACCCAGAGTGTTGACTGTGGAGCCGAGCAAACTGAAGCTGTGAACACTCTCAATCTCTTCGTCATCCATCCTGACACTGCTAATTGGTCCAGTGGCGAGAATCTTTGTCTTCTTGACATTGAGCCTTAGTCCATACTGAAGGCTGCAGTCCTTGACCCTTCGCAGCAAGTGCATGAGGTCCTCCTCAGTTTCAGCAAGCAGGGTTGTGTCATCTGCATAACGCAGATTGTTAATAGATCTTCCGTCAATCCTGATGCCGGACAGAAAGTGATGCTACCAAGCCAAAGGTGGGTGACTTTTAATCTGCGGCCCTCAGGCCTTGTTTTTCATTGTTTTTGATCAAATATTCTTCTAGGTCGTGTAGCCCTTGTGTGTCCACTTGCTGTACAGAGGTAGCTTGTGGTTGCTGTGAAGCTGAACACTGTGACACTGATGTTTCAAATGAGTTAATGTTTACCCATGGCAGACAGTGTTTGGTAGAGCTCCCCAATTAAGCTTGTTTTCAAGCTTGGAAGCAGGAGTGGCATCCACTTCCATAATAGCTTGCCTCTGGAAACCCTATGAACTTGGAGAAAAGATGAAAATCACACAAGTGTTGAGGACTTCATTCATAGAGTCACTATGAGTTGCCTACGACTTGATGGCACTTAATAACAACAATATATCCTTGCTCTGTTCAGATAAAAATTTCTTGGTGTAGGTACAGGGGCATGAGTAAATGTTCTGGGATTCCAATTTCTCTTAGTATTAACTATAGTTTGTTATGACCCACACAGTCAAATGTCTTTGTATAGTCAATACAATACAGATAGACATTAATCTCATTTCTCCACTTTCTGCCAAGATCTATCTGAAATCAGGAATGACATCCTTGTTACTATGGCCTCTTCTAAACCCATTTTGACTTTCTGGCAGTTCTCTGTCAATGTAATGCACTAGACATTTTCTGGATGATCTTCAGCAGTATTTTGCTTGCATGTGATACTAATAGTATTGTTTGATAATGTTCACAATCTGTTGGATTACTTTTCTTGGCATTATAGACAATTATGAATTTCTTTGAGTCGGTTAGCCAGGTAGCTGTCTTCCTAATTTCCTGGTACAGAGCCAGGCTGCATCTGTCAGTTGAAATATGTTAATTGGTATCCCATTGATTCCTTTAGCCTAATTATTTGCCAAAGCCTTCAGTGTATCAACAAACTGCATTATGCAGATGATCCAACCTTGCCCTCTGAAAATGAGGACTTGGAATACTTGCTACAGAAGATAAAAGACTACTGCCTTCAATGTGGGTGACATCTCAATAGCAAGAACACAAAATTCCTCACTGCTGGGATGACATGGAGAATCATGATAAATGGAGAAAAGACTGAAATTGTCAATTACTTCATTTTACATGGATCCATAATCAAGACCCTTGGCACTAAGAGTCAAGTAATAAAGAAAAAAACACTGTATTGAGAAAGTCTGCTCTTAAGGACCTCTCCAAAGGAGAGGAACAATGACGTCAGTTTAAAGACTATGGTGCAACTAATTTAGGCTATGGTCTTTTGAGTCAATCGGTATGCATCTCAGAGCTGGACAATGAATAAGGATGACAGAAGAAAAAGCAATGTCTATTAATTTTGATGTTGGAGAAGAATAGAGAATATCTCATGGATTGCCAAAAGAACAAACAGATGTGTCTTGGAGATGGTGCAAGCAGGCATCCTCCTTAAAGGCAAGAATGGCAAAACTTCATGTCTCGTGTACTTTGGGCATGTTGTTAGAAGGAGTTAGTCCTTGAAAAGGGAGATCATACTAAGAAAGGTCAGTGGAAGGCAGGAAGAGACTCAGCAAGAAGGGAAGACACAGTGACTGAAACAACTGGCTCAGGCGTGTCTGAGATGATGAAGATGGCACAGGACAGAACAGGGTTCAGAGCTGCTGTTCACAAGGCCACTAGGAGTTATTCTTGAGTCAATGGCACTTCACAACAACAATATAATCAGTAAAAATGAGCAAGTAATTACAACAAAAACTTAGAAAAGATTTGCTATTACATGAAAGAGGCTAGAGTTAATCCCTATATATTATATACTTTATAACGTGATGTTTATATGAATGATGTTCTAGGAAAATGAAAACTAAAAGCAGAGACAAACATGTCAGTGATTACCAAGGATTTAAATGGAATAGCACAGTGGACTTTTTAGAGAATATGAAAGAAATATGTATCCTAATTTTGATGTTGGTTAAATGAATCTACACATTTGTAAAAACCAAAGGTAACTGCAAATCACTTAGCCATTTTCCATTGCTTTTGTAGTGGTAAGAAAAACCTCAGTTAAGTATACATGATAGAAAGTGGACTAAACTGTAGTCTAAGTTTTGCTACATAATAATTAAAATTGTAAGACTTACTTAAATTCTGTTAGCTAAGTTTCCCTACCTTTAAAAATTATAACATTGATTCTGTTCTCATAGTTATCTAAGAAATGACAACTTGGCTCTCCTATCAGGCAGAATCAGGGTAATCCAATGGATAGTAATAAAGAAAAAGAAGCTTCAAAATGCATGTGAACACATTCTCTCTCACAGACAGACAGACACACAGAGAGAAAGACAGAAAACATAATGAATAGAGAAGAAAATTTACTCATTTCCTGACTCTACACAAGTGTTCAATGTAATGGTCTTTCCTACACTGCTTACTTTCATCCCATTTTATATCCTCCTTTTGCTTTTTTTCTCTTCCTTATTTTTTCATCATTACACTCGACTTTTTTTTTTGCATTTGTGAATTGGTGTAAACAATATTGTTTAATTTTTTTTCAAATGTCTTTATCTATCTAGGTAAAAGAGAAGCAGTAAAATGAAGTGGGAAAACCAAACCATTCTGGTGGAATTCTTTCTGAAGGGACTTTCTGGGTACCCAAGACTTGAGCTACTCTTCTTTGTGCTCATCTTGATAATGTATGTGTTCATCCTACTGGGAAATAGCTCTCTTATTTTAATTAGTATCTTGGATTCTCATCTTCACAAACCGATGTACTTTTTCCTTGGGAACCTCTCTTTGCTGGATATCTGCTTCACTACTATCTCCATTCCCCAAATTCTGGTGACTTTCCTCTCAGAAAGAAAGACCATTTCCTTCACTGCTTGTGTACTGCAGATGTTCCTTGGTCTGACCATGGGAACAACAGAGTGTGTGCTCTTGGGCATGATGGCCTTTGACCGCTATGTGGCCATCTGTAACCCTCTGAGATATCCCATCATTATGAGCAAGAATGCCTACGTGCCTATGGCAATTGTGTCTTGGTTTATAGGGTTTACGAATTCTGCCGTCCAAACTGGGTTTGTGGCACGATTGCCTTTCTGCAGGAATAACATCATCAATCATTTCTCCTGTGAAATCCTGGCTGTCATGAAGTTGGCCTGTACTGACATCCATAACATTGAGTTCATTATGCTGGTGACCACATTTTTGTTTGTTTTGATGCCACTGCTCTTGATTGTCATCTCATATTCATTAATCATTTCGAGTATCCTCAGAATTCGCTCCTCTGAGGGTAGAAGCAAAGCTTTCTCTACTTGTTCAGCCCATTTGACAGTGGTGATTATATTCTATGGAACCATTCTCTTCATGTACATGAAACCCAAATCTAAAGAGACACTTAATTCAAATGACTTGGATGCAACAGACAAGCTTGTATCTATGTTCTATGGGGTGATAACCCCCATGATGAATCCATTAATATACAGCCTCCGAAACAAGGATGTGAAGGAAGCAGTAAAACATCTACTGAACAGAAGGTTCATTAAAAAGTGTGTATATGATTAGGTTTTTTTGTCATGACAGGAGGCCAGAATGAAGGCTGCATAGTGGAGTGGACTTGGGGGGAGGGATTGTATAACAATGAAAGAATGTTTCCTTTACTTTCTACTTTTCAAGAGAAGAGCAAACTGGGGGGAGGGGGGTGAGGGATGGGCAGAGAGAAAAGTGCAACAATGAATGAATGGAAATCCAAAGTCTCTGTAAATTTTCATTAAAATTAATAATAATAAAGAAAAAAGTGTGTAAAAATGAATTGTGAACATATCACACATTATTGGAATATGAGTTTTATGTTGAACTTTTGGATATTATTACTTTTTTGTACTCTGATGTATTATTTGAAGGTTTTTTTCTTGAGTTAATAGCATTTCAAAGTAAGGCATATATATGTAAAGGTTTTGTAAACACATGGCAGTAGATGATGAAAAAGGAGTCCATTTATCATCCTACCAATTAAATATGATCACTTTTTAACATTGTAAATTATATCTTTACTATTCCATGTTTTTGACAATATAGGAAATTTCAGATTAATTGGCTTTTTTATGTTCCATTTTCTTTATATGATTACTATTTCATAGGAAGTTTTTGATTACATTTTTTAAAATAAGTAATACCATTTATTGTGAATAAATAGAAAATCTTCAGAATATTATACTCATGTTTTTTTACTGAACTATTTACCATAATTTCATATTTATCTCCAAAGTCTCTTAAATAAGTTTAGTCTATTGTTTTGTTCACCATTTTAACTATTTTTCCTCTGAAACCCTAAGGATAAACAATATTTGACACTATTGACAAAAAGATGGGCAAATTCTGTTTATTGAAGAGAGTTTATGAAATCAACCGAGATATCTCTATTGGTCTTCTTTTCAGTTAATATGTTAGCTTTAGTGTAGAAATAAATTTAAAAAACAGTTGGAAATCAAATTTTGGGCCTACATAATTATATGGACAATGTTAGATTGGATGGAAAGTCAATTCAGGGACTTTTTAGAAGTTGTCAGTTTCTTTGGTTTCCAGAGAGATTTCTACCATTTTTTTTTTCTTGTCTTAGAAGAAAAAAGAGTGTTCCACCTCTTTATATTTAATTATAAGTTCTGTGTTCCTATCTTTCTCCTGCCATTGGTTTCTCTGAGACCTTATGAATCTGAAGGAGGTACAGAGCAGAGGACTGAGAGATACCAGGCAGAATCTTACTTGGTTTTCTTCTCAACTCTTTATCTGAAGAACACTTACATTTACAGTTTGCTGAAATGGTAAACTTAACACAGATGAATGAGTGTGTACTCTAAAGAGCGATCCACTTTCTAGAAAATTCACTTGACTGAATGTATTTTATATTGTTTCATCAGCATATATTTTTACATAGATAAATGTGAATTAACTGTTTATAGAGCCTTTAGGTATATTAATTTCATTTCTTCTTAACCAACCCTTTTATTTTAATGGAAGCAATGTTCAACAGTTACAAGCTATACTTAATTCCACATAGCTTCCAACACTGTTATTCACATTAAATCCTGAGCTTTGATAATGAGATTCATAGCATTTCCTGAATAAATTTTTCTACTTTGTTATTTCTTTCATAGCTGTTCATAGATGTTTTATCTTTCTAAATATTCCGGGAAAGCAGAAAATTTCTGATGTTAAGCATTTTATGTGTGGCTCTCATGTCATCTTGGACATTCAGAGTCTAATTTTGTTTTTCCTCATAGCACTTGTTGAACCTCTTCCAGAGCTCTCTCAGGATAACTTATCTTGTTCCTTCTTTTTTTATGAAGAGAGCTCAGATTCCCTGGTGCTAAGGAATTGTGCTACCAACACGAAAGCAAGAGGTTCAAATTCTCCACCTGCTCCATGGGAGAAAGGGGAACATTCACCTCCTGTGTGATTTGTTTTCTCTGAAAATCCACTGGAGAATCAGGTAAGAGTTTGTTCCAATTCGAAGGCACCAAGAGAAGGACCACCACCAACAGAAGTCTTGTTATCAGAGTTACAAATTTGTGACAGAAAATTAATGTGTACATATGAAATTTTTTTTATTTGAGTTTAAGTAAAAGTTTACAAAGCAAATAAATTTTCAGTTCAACAATTCATAAATCCTTTGCTTTTTATCATTAATAACAGTATTTATAATAATGATTGCAACTTCCCACTTCATCTGTGTGTTTCTGCTTCCATTAACTCTTCTATTCCACTTTTCTTACTGTCACCTTTGGCAAATTTTGCCTTTTAACATCAAATGGTTGGTGATTGTAGGCATGAGTATGTTCTTTGTGTTATTGTTAGCCTTGTAAATCTGTCTATTGTTTGGATGACAGTTGAACTCGTGTATTAAGCTTTACTCCTGGTTTAAAACGTTGTTGTTGATTGCCTTCAAGTGTAGTATGATTCATAGCAACCCTATGAACAAAGGCCTACAGTCCCTCTACTACTAGGGGCTATAATCTTGATTATTTCACCAGTCTCTAAATGATCAGTAAGCTTGGTCATTTTTAACATGTGAAATTTTTTTTTAACATGTGAAATTTTAATGTAAACATTTCTTCTTACAGCAGAAAACAAGGATAGGAAGTCAATGTCAGAAAGAAAAAAAGATGGATCACCAGTCCTGAGCTGCTCTTGTATTCATACTTGTCAGTCAAATACACTGTCTACATGATAATATGAACTTCAGTGGAGTAACTGTTAGAACTTCTCTGATAATCCAGGAGCTGGTGGTTTAAACTCAGCACAGCTTGTGGAAGAAAACCTGGTGATCAGCTTCTGCTGCATTGAAAAACAAGGAAATCATGAAATACTGTTCAAAATGGATGACCCTAGAGTACACTATGATGAGTGAAATATCTCAGTCACAAAAGGACAAATACGCATAGTGCTACTGTTGTAAAATGGGACTGACATAGGTGTTGGGGAGGAGACTGAGAAAGATGGGATAAATAATGTATACTGCACTGAAACAGATGAGAGAGAGAACTGTTTAAATGAAATATATGATTAGGTATTATTGCCATAACATGAGTCCAGAACGAAGGCTGCATAGGAAAAAAGGAGTGGACTTTGGGGGGAGGGATTGTATAACAATAAATAATTTTTCTTTTACTTTTCAAAGAGAAGAAAGAACTGGAGGGGAGGGGTGGGCAGGGAGAAATGTGCAACACTGAATGAATGGAAATACAAAATACCTGTAAATTTTCATTAATAATAATAATGATAATAATAAAAACTTAAAATACAGCCTTATAAACTCCTTAGGGTTAGGGTTGACATCCACTCATAGATAAATAGGAACAAAATGCTGGTACGCTTTATACAAGACTAGGCCCTTTACAGGATGTCCCATCAAAAAAATGAATGTGTCAGAAAAAAAAAATGAATGTGAGAACATCTTACGAAGGAAGGTTTTGTTATAAAAAATTTTATAATATGATACATCAGCTGCTCATGTGTTTGTGTGTGTGTGTGTGTGTGCCCATTTCAGAATCTTGCATGTAAAATATGAGGCAATATGCAGGATTTTTTTTCATTTGTGCTTCTTTTTTTAATTAAATTTTATTAATTTTAATGAACATTTACAGAGATTTGGGGTTTCATTCATTCATTGTTGCACTATTTTCTCTACCCTCCTCCCCAGTTTGTTCCTCTTCCCCCCCCTTGAAAGTCTGTTTTAATTGTCCCATTGCCACAGTTCTTGTCAAAGCCAGTTCTGATTAATCTCCTTTGTCAGTGTGTCCTTTGCCATTCCCTGTCACTCCTCCCTGAGAGAGACTTCACTCTGATTCATAAGGAAAAGGGGATGGTGTGTTCTCTTAGCTACTTCCTGCTAAAAATGGACGCTGTAGGTTTCAGGGTGAAGATCTTCTCTCACTACTCTAAAGGGCCCCTTTGGCAATAGGAAACATGTAGACTATTGTGGATATTGATTTTGGAATTTAGATGCACTGTTATCAATTGTGCTTAGCCGTACATGTTCATATCCTTGAAGATGTATAATGGAAGTGTTGCAGCCTAGTAGACACAAATTTAACTAACAAGTTAAAAGTACATGAGTCAAAAATGAAAAAGCAATAATATTCCAAGTAGAGGTTCTAACAGTGGCACAAATCACGTTACAGAGGGAAGGTGGTTCTTACAATAAAAGGCCTATTGACTAGCACTTTGTCTATTATAGTATAAAGGTTAGGAATCACAAGATTTAGAGGCTCAACTATGTCATTTATTGTTCTTAAGTCCTGGAGCAAATTTCATCTACCACTGGGTTGTTTTACAGCTCAGAAGTCCACATACAAGGCAGAGGTGAAGTAAGGAACTGCTTATGAGGCTTTCCGTCAATTCCAACAACTAAGAAATAGTGAGAAGAGTTGGGACCTCAGAAGGCTTTTAGAACCAAATAGTAGGCTCTTCTGTCCAGGAGAAAACAAATACACTTACCAGTAATGTTAATGCTTACCCACAGCTCTTCTGGGAGGATCTAAATCGTTGAAGCGTCCTCCTTTGTTTCCAGCTGGGAGGTGGGGGAGGCAATATACAGTTTCAATTGCATGTATAGAAAAATTTTATGGAAAGAGGTGTAATTGGAGATAAACATAGTGTATTGAATTATATTCCTTCAAAGGATGGGACTTTGTTGTTGTCATAACCCCTGTAACTATGAATGTTACTTTATTTGGAAAATATTTTCTTTGAAGATATTATCAAGTAAACCAATGAAGTTGTACTGTAGTAGGTGAGACCTAATCCCTTCTGAATGTAAAACAATAAAGAGCAGAGTAGAGTCAAACAGAAGGAAGACGTTGTAAAGTTCCATCTACCATCTACCAGCCAAGAAAGTACAAGAAAATCTAGGAGAGATAAGGAAAGCATTTTATAGTAGGGAGAAAAAAAAATTTAAGATTTCCTTCCATGTACCTTGAATTTTGACTCCTAACCTCTATGTTTAAGACAATACATTCCTATTCTTTCAACACATCTACTTTGTGGTGTGGGTTTGGTTGGGTTTT